TTGATTTTTCCTTTGTTGATTCTTGAAAATATTTATGTGATTTGATGTTAGATTTTGCATATTTTTTGTGTCTGATATGACAATAATTAAAATCTTGGTTGAAACAGTATCTGTTTTTTGGGCCACTTCTTGCTGAGTTAATTTATTCAAGAATCTATGAAAAGAAGCACAGTGAGTACAGTTGGTGTTTGCATGTTCTAATATTGTCTTCACTAAGAGGACTTGTGCACCAGCTGTGGAGTTCGCATAATAACATGCTTTTTCTTAATCGAAATCATCGATTATCTGAAAAAGCCATTGGTTTTGATCAAATTGACAAAGAATGGCATTGGTAATATATCTCATTTACCTTCATATATATATTGATTATATTCGGGTTTTTGAAAGTGATTCTGGTGTTTCGACAACCCAATTATCTATCGATCGATCTATAGATAAGATAATTTGTTTTGGAGAATCTATTTATAAAGTTACTCGTATATCATTATTAAATCCTTCTTTATTCTGTTAGGTAAGGTAGTGTTTTTAATATGCTATAGGTAAGAAGTGAAGTTGTTCATTCCATTGAAATAACAAAAAAATTATTTGTTATGTCCATGACAATTTTTGAAGAAATGCGATTGTTTTCCATTTTATTAATTTTTGCGTTGTTTTTATTACTTTAGATAATGAATCACATGAAAAATTGCATTAAAATCCATATTTATATATTTAATTTTTAATGACACGATTTTTTTTAATTATTATGATTTTAATTAACTACAATATATACTTTTCAAACCACTCAACACCATAAAAATGATTATACCCTTATTTTATGAATTACATAACGTCATAAAAAATGATATATGTCTATATCTTGTCACATGATTATGCTCAAACGTACGTTCAAACACCCGTTTATATGACTATCTTTACAAGTTTTTGATGAAACTCGTGCATATTTTTCTCTATGATTAACAGGGATAATTTCATCATACTTGAAGCATCTGTAGCTTCAATACTCTCATTGATCAATCCATCAGTGACCAATCTTCCTATTTGGAAAACCAGTGGGATTATTTCTTGTGTAATTTTCCATATTGGCCTCTCAGAACCTCTATATTATTGGCTTCATAGATTATTACATTCACCATATTTCTTCCAACATTATCACTGGCTACACCACAGTTCTACAGTGAACCATCCATTTACAGGTGAAAAATAATTAAACCGACCGCACAAAATTCTTTTATTTATTAAACATCACCCTCTAACTATCTCATCTTGCACTTTTAACCGCTTTTGGTGCAGCCGGTCATGCGACCTTTTTGGAGCATTTATTACTTTGTGTAATAATGGGAGTTCCAATTCTTGGGAGTACTTTGATAGGACATGGTTCAGTCATCATGTTCTACGGCTATGTTTTGGTGTTTGATTTCCTTAGATGTATGGGGCATAGTAACATTGAAGTTGTTCCTCATCACATCTTCAAAACCGTGCCTTTGCTCAAATATCTTATTTATACACCAACGTAAGTTTGCGTACCATAAGTAATGCATACCAAATGCACTATAAGACCGTTATGTTATGTTTTGTTTGCTTGTATTCTGCCCTGTTCTATCATATCCTTAATTGTGTAACTAGCTAGGGTGTTCACTATTTCGATTGGACAATTGGACAATTTCAATTAGATATATGGTCCGGATATTAGCATTTTTGTATTAATGTTTGAAAAACCAAATTATAATTTTGAATTTTGAATTAGTTTTGGTTTATAAAATAAAAACCAAAGATATCAAAAAACTCATTAATAATAATTATTATTTTATTTTTGTATATATATATGTAATCGTTTATTAATTTACCAAATGGTTTTTTAAATAGAATAGAAAGTCTCATCCGATAAAAAATACTTCGATACAATTCTTCTAGAAAAAATTATATATATAATATCAGATTGTAACATAGTTTTTTTTAGTAGTTGTTTATAAAATTTGACTCAAAACTACATAAAAAAACAAATTACTCTTTTATAGAATTTGCTAATATTTTAGTTATATATATATTTTTTTTAAATATGCTGATTTTTGAAAACCATATACTAGAAACCGATTGAACCGAATTGTAATTTGGTTGGTTTGGATTGGATTAATTAAATTTAGTTTTGATTATTTGGATCTATGTTTTGATCAACCGAACTTGAATTGGATTCTTTTGATAGGATCATATGGAACCGATCAATTCAAACGAAAACTTTATGCATAACCACTGGAGCCTTAAGAAATTAAGTATGATTATTTTTCATTTGCATGTTTGACTGTTTTTAGGTACCATTTTCTACATCACAGAGACATGAAGACGAATTTTTGCCTCTTTATGCCTCTTTTTGATGTTTTCGGAAAGACCATGAATGAAATTTCTTGGGATCTTCATAGAGAAATAAGTTCAAACGAAGGTACATCGTTCTTTTAATCATTTAAGAAGTCTATGGCTGCTATATTTGACATCCAATTAGTCTATATATGGGTTCATAAAAAAAACGGGCCATAACTTGATGATATCTGAAAATTGTACTCTTTTAAAGTTTTAGTCAACATGGGCAGATCTATAGTTAAGGGAGGGTATGCACGTAATTTGTTAGTGTAGAAAAAAAAAATGAATAGGGGTATTTCAAGAAACTTTTTGTAAATAATGCATATCCACATTAAAACAAAAAAGGTTAATCACAAAAATACCAAAATATTTGTCTAATAACAAATTTACCATTTTTTATATAAAACACAAAATAACCATCGTAAAATACAAAAAAGAGTAAATTACAGTTTTGGTCCCTATGGTTTTGTCAGATTCGTACTTTCAGTCCAACCTATGAAAATTTGACAAGATGCATCCATGTGGTTTAAAGAAGTTGCATTGCACATCCTTAGTCCATTTAAATATTTTTTCGCTTACATTTTATTTTATTTATTTATATTTTTTTAATATTTAGATTTTATTTGACATTTTTTCGAATATATTGTTTAATGTTTTTTTACATTTTGTTCGTTTATATTTTTTGATGTTTTTTTGAATAGTTTTTTGACTTGTTGATTGAATATATTTTAATATTTTTTTGACGTTTTATTTGTTTATATTTTTTTAAATGTTTTTTGTAAAAAATGTAAAAAAGTTCGTTAAATGTGAATATTATTAACATAGATTAGGTATAAAATTATTTTTTTAATAGGATTAATAGATAGGCTAACCGAAATTCGAAAACGAGTTTCAAGTTATATAATGACTAATTGGAAACCAAATAACTCGAAAACGAACAAAATTTCTAAAAAAATAAATGAACTCGAAAACATTGACACGTGTGTTTGAGTTATAGGAATTCTAATTAACATTTTTCATTCAGAACAAAATGTTAAAAAAATTCTAAAACTAAAAAGTTGAACTCGAAATCATTGACACTCGTTTCGAATTCTGGTTAGCTTATACAATAACCCTAATAAAATAAATAATTATATACCTATTATATGTTAATCATATTCACATTTAACAAACTATTTTATATTTCTTATACAAAAAATATTTTTAAAAATCTTTACAAAAATATAAAAAAAACATTTAAAATATATATTCAAACAAAACATAAAAAAAAAGTAGATAAATTTATTCAGAAAAAACGTCAAAAAATGTAAAATATAAAAATATAAAAAACATTAAAAATATATATATTCGAATAAAAGTTCAAAAAATATAAATAAATAAAATAAAATGTAAGAGGGAAAATATGAAAAAATTAAACAATTTATATATATATATATATATATATATATATATATATATATATATATATATATATATGAAAAACAAAAATATATAAATAAGGGTAAAATGGTCTTTTTAAATAGATTGAGGATGTAAAGTGCAATTTCTTTTAACAATATAGATGTATCTTGTCAAATTTTCAAAAATTAAACTGAAAGTGCGAATATGACCAAACCACAGGGACCAAAACTGTAATTTACTCTACAAAAAATAAAAGCAGTTGAATTCTTTTTTGGGAAATAACATTATTGTTTTTTGAAATATCATCATTATTATATATATATATATATATATATTAAAGTTGTGGAAGAAATGAATAGTAAAGTTGGCATACTTTGTCCAGCTTTGGCCCCTTGATTTACATATCTGGTCCTTGTACTTCTTTAATTAATTTATTCATGTCCTTTTGTTTGTGTTCCATTCAACTTCCCATTTTTTTGGCAGTGGAAGAAAGGAATAGTAAAGTTGGCATACTTTGCCCAGCTTTGACCCCTTGATTTACATATCCGGTCCCTGTACTTCTTTAATTAATTTATTCATGTCCTTTTGTTTGTGTTC